CACTCCAGAGGACTATAACTGAACAAAATCACCTAGCAAATAGCTCAGAAAATTCTGTTCTTCTGAGAACTAATAGAGAAGGTCCAGCCAGAAAGTGGCACTTGCAACTAATGAAAGCTGAGCCAAAACCTAGAGGCTTTATCTCACAGATGGAATGAAGATTGGATCTGGTGCATCTACGACAAACATTCACTCCCCTTAGACTCATTTCAGATGATAGTTTAAAGGTGGAGACCTTGCAAGGTAGAAGAATTTAAAACTATCTTGGTTAGGATCTACTGCAATTATCAAAATGCATGTATTACCCAAGATAAATTATTTATTTCAAAGGACACCAATCAGAATTTCAGAGAATCTTACAAGAATGACAAGAAACCATCACTAATTCATATGGAGTAGGAAAAGTTAAACAAAAAGAGTTAAACAAAAGAGTTAAGCAAAAATGTTTACAAGTTTCCAAAGAGAGAGGTGGCCTCACCCCCCAAATGTAAAACGATCATAAAGCAAGTTGCCTATCCTGAATGACAGAGTGGATAGTGGAATCACCGTTTTGGAGGGAGCCGACTTAGCCAATGGATTCCACAGATACTTATGGTACAGAAACACAAAAGAGAATGAAAACTTAAAAGGACATAAGATTAGACAAAATTGGATAAAACTATGGAATTCCACAAAGGAAATAATAAGCCCAACAATTTAACCCCTAGCTTCTCCCTCAGATGCTTTTCATGTTGGAGATAATTACAGCAAGAGAAATGCAGCTACACCTGCAGAGAAGGTTCACTCAGATTCTACGAGCAAATTAAAACGCAGCAAGAACTACCGTACTTAGTGAAGGCCGGAAGAGATCAAGGTTGATGTATTTACAAATAGCCGGAAGGACAACATCAGATCTCCAAAAAGAAGGAGGGATATTAAGGAAAAAAACAGAATTTGAAACTCTCATAGAAAATCAACACCATCTGTTAGGGTGTGTATATAAACTCCTACTTAGATATGATACAGAAACAGAAGAAACAAAAAACTGTATGACAAAATGGATGCAAAATTTCAAAGAAACAGTTAAAACAATGGGAAGAATTATAGACTAAATCTATAAAATTATAGCTTAAAGAAAAATTGGTACAAAATGTTTTATAGATGGTATACAACTCCATCAAATAATAATTAAGATGGACAAATAATACAGTAATAAATGCTGGAAATGCCATAAAACACAAAGAACATTTTAGCACATGTGGTGGATGTGTAAAAAAACCCTAAAAAATACTGGAACGACATACCTAGTACAATGCAGAACATTTTGGAATTTAAATTTGGAATGAAACCACAACTGTTCTTAGTTATTCTTATTCTCAGAAAAAATTAACAAGAAATATCATAATTTAACCAGATATATGCTTACAGCAGTGAGAATAAACTTTGCTCAAGAAAAGCTTCTGGAAGAAAAACACAACCCCGACAATGTCTGACTGGGAACTTAAACTTGGAGAATACGCAGCGAAGGCAAAGCTAACAGCGTCCATACTCAACAGAAATTTAACTAAATTTAAGCGAGAATCGTTCCCATACATACAACCCATCACACAGCATGGCAAATATAACCACTTACAGTCTGACTTTTAAGGGGGAGTGAATGCTTACAAATATATATAGCAAATGTATAAAAAGGGGGGAGACAGAAATCAATAGCTTTTTAAAAAAATATTAATACTTCCTTTTTTTCTGTACTTTTAAAGCATTTTGTTAGATTTGTTTCCTCTATCTTTTACTTTCTTCTGTCAACATATATATAAACACACCCACACCCACATACTTTAAGTAATGATATAATGAGGATCTTAACATTAAAAATTAGTTCAAGACTGAAACTATGATCATACAATACTTTGATGTGAACTGCAGTGGCTTTTTTTTTTAATCTTATACTCAATTTTGGATGAAAAGTTAAATAATCTTATGCTTGTAATAGCAACATCCTAAATGGCCATTAATACTGACAGAGTTTTTATTTTTCTCTTTATTTTTAATACTTTAAGCTTTTAAAATAATAGAACATTAATAATTTTTAATCATATTATATAAACAATACCGCATTGAAATCCGCATTGAAATAATGTATCAAGATTTGAAACATTACAATAAAAAAGAAAAAAAACTTTGGCAAAAAGATGCTCCCCTGATTTCTTCTTGACAAACAAAGCAAGAGTGGCTGCAGGTGAGGAGGAAGGCCTGATGAAACCCCTCTTCGGATTTTTTTTTCAATAAAATCTTGCTGAGATGCTAACTCCGGGTCTGAAAGTGGGTAAATTCAAGCTACTGGGATCTTGGCACGCGGGACAAGGCCAAGAGGACAACCTTATGGTCGGTGCGGAGGGAGCCGGTCTGCTTCCTTTCCGCTGCACACACCTGCAAGGAAGATCTGAGAGGGGTTTCTTCATTCTGTCAGCTGCAAGGTACTGCACCGACATACATGTGGCATACATGTGGCATAGTAATAACCCCTATGGCCCACCCAACGGGAGGGTCGTGAGCCTGTAACCACTCAAAGCCCAGCAGAATGGGAAAGTGGGGTGCAGAGGTGAAATAGCATTCAACCCCGGGGGGGGGGGGGGGGGGGGCAGCTGCGTCTGCAGTTCCTCTGCTGCCCAGGTCACAGGTCCAGCTAGTAAAGGCTGGCCATCAATGGTTTCCACAGCCAGGGGTGGCTGAACGGGATGCAGGGGAATCCCATAGTTCCCGGCTAAGTTAATGTCCACGAAATTGGCAGTAGCTCCGGGTCTATCGTGGCCCAGGTTTGCAAGGCTGGCCACCTTGGTAGCTTCAGCGGACCAGAGACCACCTGGTGCTTGGCTGGGATGGCGCACAGTGTTTGGGCTCAAGTTGCAAAGATTTGTCCTCAATTTAGTAGCCCACCCAAACTGGGAGGGATCCGTTTCTTGAAGGAGTTTGGTTTCTTGGCAGGGCGTGGGGCAGCAAGATGTCCCTGACCATGACAAAGCAGGCCCTCCCTCATCTTTGTGCTTTTTCTGCATCAGTCAGCAGTGGGTGGGCACCCCCAACCTGCACGGGCATCAGTTCACGAATAGATTGGCAGGGGGACCGGAGGCTTATTTGCTCGAGATTTGGCCTTTCTCTGCGGTAAACGCCCTTCAGTCTGAAGGCACAACTGTATTAATTCCTGCAGGGTGTCAGTCCCAGCTGGTTCATCCAATATTTCCTCTGCCAAACCCTCCTGAAATTGATCTACAAGTGCCGCTGCATTCCAAGCCAAATTCTGAGAAATGAATGTAAATACACTCACGTGCGTGTCAGAATACACGGCTCGGGGCTGACGGCCGAATTCAGCGCAGTTGTCCAGCAGAGGCTCTGTTGTGTCCGCAGCGGCGCGGCCCATCCAGCAGCAGCCCCCAACGAGACTAGCGACGAAGCCCAAGCGCAGCCCGCTGGAAGGAGAGACTTCAGGGCGCGCCTCATCGAGAGACTGCACCACCCCCGAAAGGAAGGAAGGAAATTGAGACAGCTTCTCATCCAATTTTTCGGGGCACGCAATGGGGCACTTTCGCAGCGGGGCGGGGCAGAGCTGTTGCAGCCTGCAACCGCCGAGCTTGAAGTGCTGGGAGCCGCGCCGTGAGGAACGCGAGCTGCCGGGCGTTTCCAGCAGCAAAGTGATCCTGGGGTAGCGCGGCCGGCAGCAGTATTTTACTCCTGAGGCAACTGGGAGTTAGTGGGTTGGGAAGAGTCCCAGGCCTCCCTCTCTCTCTCTCTCCGTCTTGCGCGCACACACACACACAGAGCCCAAGGCTTTACTTGGTCATTAAAGCAATGCAGGCAGGATGTGCACGCAGTTGCACGCACACTCAATTTCAAACGGTCCCAAATCTCTAGGAAACGTACAAAGTCCCAGTAAGCAAAGTTCCAAGGAGCAGGCAGAAGTGTCATCGGGGCAGTCCAGAGCTCATAGTCCTCACAGGTCGGCAGCCAGTCTGGGTTCAAGGTTGGGGTTTCCAGAGGCGAGTTCAGAGCACAACAGATCCCAGTACATGGAGCAGCTGCTCCCGACGGAGGACCGGCTCTGTGAAACAGCCCCACCAGGTGCAGGCAACCCCCAGTGGGAGCGCCTTTGTCTGCGAGGACCCTCTTGCCAGGCCCTGCGTGCTTAGGACTGGCAGGCGGCCCTGGATCAGGCCCTCCTCCTCTGCCGCCCCCGCAGCTCCTCAAGCTCTGCAGCCAGATCAGCCCCAAAGGGCCCCCTGCTGCTCTCTGAGATGGCGGCTGTTCCACAGGATCCTCCAAACTCCTCCTGCTCGCTAGCCAGGACACCACCACCGCTTTGCCTCTGGCCACCCTGCCCAGAAGCACCTTCTCACCTTCACTGGAGGGGAAATCTCGACCCTCAGCCCAGAGCCACAACCAGCCTCGCCTGCCTACCCAAGCAGCTGCTCACCTTCAGCTCAGCCACATCTGGAGCCACTGCTTCCCCTTCTCACCATCAGAGGTAGACAGGGCCCATCCCCACTTCATAGGGTGGAAGACCAAGAAATAATTTCCCCTGGCGAGGCACAAATGAGGCCCGGGGGATGCCTGAGGAAAAGCTCTTCCACAACTGCATTGCAAGAAGCCAAACTGAGCAGAGATTGCAGCCCAGCCCCGTGGCTGAAGTGGAACCCCAAAAAGGTGATCTACAGAGGCCACTGCGAGCAGCAGCCGGCCTTCACTCACAACACCTGCTCTCTCTTCTGAAGAACAGCAAGGAAACTCAGCAGGAGGGACGGTGCTGGCCTCTGCCAACCCTCACGGCTGCTGTTGCCCAGGGTCACAGCAAGAAAGGGTGATGAAAAGCTGCCACCAGCAGCATCTGAGAATCCTGCCACCCAGAGCCAAAAGGGCACAAAACCCTTTTTTATGTAAAAAACCCTGGGGTTTTATGTCCAATTCTTTGTTAAAGCTTCTCGGCAAAAGCAACACAGACCAGCTTCCACACGGCACTGAATTTTGTGAGTAAATATTTGCGGGGGGGGGAGGGGTAGCAGGCCAGGGGAAGCTGAGAGATGATAATTTCAGGGGTCTTAAGGAGGTAGACAGCCCCCAACTTGGCAGCTTGCTCCAAAAGGTTTCGCCTTCTTTCCTCTGTGGACATCCAGAGGCTCCCCAAAGATGAGATGCGGGTGCGGCAAGGAAGGGAAGTGCCAGAATGCCCTCCCTTCCCATGGCACAGCCACTCCTCTAACAGATGGAGGGGTCAATGCACACTCCCCACAAAGGAGTCCCGAGTCCTCGTCCTTCTACTTGTTTTATTGCACACACACCCCAGTTGTCCCTGAGTAGCCGGAGAGGAGGCAGGGCAAGTCAAGTCCCAGCAGCAGAGCCGAGCAGCACTTCCCCGAAGGCATCGCCGGCACCGTGAACCCGGAAAGGGCCGCGGGGGCTGTAGAGCCAGAAGGGCTCCAAGCCAGAGTCCCGGGGCTTATTTTGCCGTGATGCAGACCTACGCGGGGCCCGCTGAGGCAGCTGCTAATCCCTCTGGCTTGGGCAAACAGCTTTCTGCCAGTTCCCCTCCTCCGTCCAAAGGACAACCCCAAACAGGCCGAGCTGCCGCAGGCCAGGAGAGGCGGTCACAGCAAGTGCTTGTTGCGCTTGGGGATGATTCTGCGGACTGTCCTGCGCTCAGAGATGTTCCGCTTCACCCTGGCCCCGCCAGCAGGAGGCCCATCCACGTTCAGGGAAGGGCTGGAGTGGGACTTCTGCAAGCTAGGGCAGCTCTCAGCCACTGCCGTCAGCTGGGCCTCCCACTGGTCGAGGTCGTCCGTGGTGCAGCTGAGCTTCACCTCCAGGAGCTTCACGTACATCTCATAGCGGCGCTTCTGCAGAGGGCGAGAGAGAAAGTGCTGCCTGTGGCGGAGTCGAGTATCAAAATCTGGTCCTATGACGGGAAGAGAAGAGGTGGTGACTGTCCTTCCCTGGAGAGGTTTGACCGGAGGTTGGATGGCATCGGTTGGGGAAAGCCCCCCTCGCCCGGGACCCACTCTAGCTTACGCTCTAGGATGCTATCATTGGCACAAACCTCCCCCTCCCCTTCCTCTTTCTTATCCCACAGATAGGGATGCCATGAACATCTCTGTGGCCTACAACTGGCACCTAAAATTCTGTACGCGTGGTTGCACGTGCACATCCTGACTTCTGAACAGAGAACTAGAGTTTGTGTGGGGGAAAAAGAGTGGCGCTTTGAGACAGCAGCCATTGGGATAGTAACGACAGCACCGAGAAAAATAGCCAGGGGACAACGAGTGCTGTACAGATTTGGATCTGCAAATGCTTGCCCAGGAAAAGGATACAGGCGACTCTGAACAGCAGGGGTTCCCATTCAAACTCAATGAACCGTTTCCTCCCGCTGCAGGATCACCTGGGGATCGCCCTTCCCCTCTGCCACCCCCACTCCCAAAACGAACCAACTTTGCTCACCTCATAGAGCAAGTACTCCTTCCGGAGCTGGTACTCCTCCAGGTCACGCCCACGCCCACGCTTCTCCGGCAGATTTCGCTGGAGCTCTAGCAGTTCATGGGACACCCTGTCCATGCAGGCTTCGTGGGCCAGGTGCTGGTCTTCCTGCAGTGACAGAAAAAGACTGCAGCCTCGCCTCCAGCTAGGCGCTCCAGTTCCCTCCCCCCTCTCTGGGCACCAGAGACCCACGGCTGCGCTGAACTGTGCAATCGGAGCCCCAAGGGCAGAGCGACGCTTCCTCAAGTGCCTGCCTTCGGTCCTGGCGTTTCTCAGGGACTTCACCAGAACAGCTGTGCAGAAGGACCTGCGGTTCAACTATTCCACCCCCTCCAGCACTGAAGCTTACCATGGAATTCTTGCAGGGTGCTGTTGGCAGAATGGGTCTTACAAATTTCTTTTGGGAGCCCACTGCCGCAGGGAAGGGTGGGGCAGAGAACATGGCTGCCACGAGGTTGATGCGGGAAATCCATGAACTCATTTCTTCAGAAGTTCTAGGAAAGGGAGAAAATTCAGGACCCTGGGCAGTGTGCCTAACTTTACTGAATTAGCCCAGCCTTTTGGATTTGCATAATAAACCCAGCCATAAATGGGTTTGGTTCTTATGGTAAACGACCACTCCAAAATGTTTAAATGTTTAATGTTTAAAACCAGCCCAAATCAACATTTTGTATGAATACATCTGCTAGATCTTTACCTGTTCTGTGTTGTGTGAACACAGCTTAATAATCAGGATCAATACAGTCCTGATTAATTTGCACGGGCTGTACCCTGGCATCTCTCTTGTTCAAGGGAATCCCACTTGCTGCGGGGCTGGCATTTCCTGCCTGCATCTTACACCCTGCCACTATGTGTTGGGCGTGTCTCTGTGGCCTCTCTGCACAGTCTGCACCTCGGGTCCTGTCTAGTGTGGTAGACCCCTGCTTCTATGGATCTGTTGCTTAGTGCCTGTTCTTGTGCTGCTATGATCAGTCCCTCAGTGCTGTCTTTTAGTCCGGCCTTTCCCAGCCACTGATAGGATTTCCCAACGTCAGCC